TTATCATCATTTTCATTACGATGATGATGGATTCTCATAATTTTTGCTGATGATATAAATTACAACAAAAAGATTACAGCATTTTTTTCCCATCATTGCTTCTCCCTAGGATCATTGTTTCTTCTCATTATCTTATCTAATCATTGCTTCTTAAGATTTGGAGATTGTTGTCCATTCTAGTTAAACCGAGAATCTAATTCTCAAGAAATTAGTCAAAATAAATTCATAAAATAAAAATTCTTTACCTAGAGAAAAGTCAAACAAATATTGCCAACAGTTCTCTCTTGTGTAGAGAACACTTTATAAATTTGCACTTTTGAAAATACAAGTAACCCCCCCCCCCACTCTCCTGGCCTCATCTCAAAAACAGACATTTTTACAAATGACACCTTTTCCTAATAAAGAAGAAACTGCAACTGATTTTTCTTTTGCAGTTTTTATCATTTACAATTTTAGGCACAAAACACCACAAACCAATTTATAAAATCCTTTGTATTTTCTTGTTTATATTCAAGGCTTGTTGAATATTAAAACTAAAACAAATACAATTCTATTGACAACTGAAAAATTATAAATTTCTACATCAACAGAAAAGTACAAATATGGGCAATTTGCTTATTCTTCTGGTCGTATAGAAAACTTTTTATAGAAGAGATATATATATTGCATTTTATATATTTAGATGCTTACTTTTCAGTTAAGAAACATTGCTGCTACAATTAACAATTTTAAAGAACACTGATTGTAAGTGTGGCAAGGTTAAGTGAAAAATAGACTGGCAATAAAACTTTCTAAGTAGATTTTTCTCATTGCTCCATCAGCCAAGAGAGCTTAAATTACAGCAGTTGGTGATAAGGAAGCGTGATATAAGCATAGTGAAAAGAAAAGTTAAAATCAGAGACATTAACAGAGACAGTGCCTCTAAACCTCCAAATTCTTCAGATGTTTAAATTTCAGCAATGACAAAAAAATCTTTCCATTTTAAAAGTTAAGACTTTTTTTTCTTAAATTACAATCTAATTATTTCTGTTACAGGAATTTAATGAAATTCTGTGAGATTTGCAAAATTAAGCATGGAGCAGTAGACAAGTGAACAAAAGACAATTGTTCAATTTTATTTTGTAAGCAACAAAGAGCCTTTCTAAGTCAGAAATGCCCCCCTGAAACACTTTCAAACACTAATACTTTTTCTAACTTGCCATGGTCTGGACAACCACAAATAGTTTTGAACTGTTGAATTGTCACATATGTGACAATTCCTAAAGGAATCAGGATAAAGAACTTCAGCTTGAAGACATTCTGAACAGTTGGACATTTCTCAAGAGATTTACTGCTGCGGATTTTAAAAGAGTTATATCTCTTAGAATCAACTACTGCAAGAATTAAAACCAAGAGACTTTCATAAGAGGTTAGCTTTTGCTGAAATGAAAAGAGGTTTTGTCCACTGATTCTGACCATGTCTGATGATGAAGCCCATTTCCACCGAAATAGTTTCAAAACAACAAAATTAGGTATCTTGAAAATCTTAGACTTATTCACCAACATCAGTGGCATCCCCTTGAATGCACAATTTAGAGCTGAGTCTCATTGGAATGAATTAACAAACTATACGCCTTTTAAGCTGTTGAAGGCAATGCATGTAGGGTGACTGCAGAGCAGGAGAGGAGCGAAAAGTTTACATCGTGAAAGCAAAATTGGAGCTCCTTCATGGAATATTCCATGGTAGATTAATTTTACATGAATTAGAAATTAACTCAGTGCAGTGCTCACCAGATTTGAAAGCTGATCTTATTGTTTTATTTATGGGACTATCTTAAAAAGTTTATACACAGAAGACCCAAAGAATAAAATTTTACCAGAAATTACATCTTTGGAACTAGTTCCATTTACAAGTTGTTTTGGAACCATGTCCAAAAAGGGGCTCAACTCTGCAAAGCCAAAACCGAAAGGCATTTGAAGGATGTTATATTTCACAATTAGTTCCAGGGTAGTAAAATAAATATATCTAAAAAAATAAAAAATAAAAAAATTACCTTTCATTTAAAAACAAAAAAAGTTCATGTTTTAAAATGGCAAGTGGATTTTGTGCCACCTTCTATAAAAAAATAACTTAAAATTTGATATTCAAATACAGAACACACAAGAGAAAAATTTGTCCAAAACATAGATGCTAAATGCTCGAACTTGTATGAAACAAAGACATTGACATTGACAAGCAATTGGCCCTCTTCTCTAAACTTAGCTGCTCAGGCTTTACTGCCAATCACAAAGCTGAAGTGTGACACAGTTGGTGATAAGGAGATAGAATATAAGCTCTAAATAGAAAGAATCCAAACATGTCAGCAGGGAGAGAGAGAGAGAAATCAGGTTTGTTTTCAATACCAGTTCTGCCTCCTTAAAAAAACGGTGGAATAGTTAATTTGAAAAAAAAACAAAAAAAAAAAAACATTTAATGAGTCTACTTGAATCGACTGTTAATGTTCTTACTTTGATATTTGATCTGATGAGTGATTTAAATTGAATATGTCCTGAACATTTGCTCAAATAAAACAAGTTTCAGTACACGTTTCCATTTTTATTCTGTATATTGATTAAAACAGAAACAAAAAAGAAAAAAAAAACTGTCTTGTTTATGACCACCATCTAAACAAGGGCATTCAAAATAAAATGGCTCTCATTATTCTAAGACACCAACAGTTACTTCAGGCAGAAGTAATCCGCACTTAATTTTGTATTTTTATGAAGTAAGCAAGCTACCAAAATATTTGTAGAAAAGAAAAAGTCTCAGGACAGAATCAGTGAAGAAAGTTTTCAAAAGAAAAAGAAAAAAAAAACTCCCATTACATCTAAGTAAGTGGCTGAACCAAATTTTGTTTTAACAATTATTTTTTGTCTTTTAATTAAAAAGCAGGTGAGAACAAATATTAAAATCTATGCAAGGAGCTAGTGAAGAAAGGGAAAGCCAAAATGACAAAAAAAAAAAAAAAAAAAAAAAAAAAAAAAAGAGTGCTAACCAATTCATCCCAAAGTCACTTGATTATTTGAAATTATGCATAAAATATCCAAAAGTGAATCTCAAAATTTGTTTTAGAGTTAAAGACAAATAAAGAAATGTTAAAGCACTAGGATTTGCAAGTACAAGACTGACTACTTGCTTGGCTCCTTAATGGTGGGGAGGGTGATATTAAACCTCTCAACTGTCAATCTATTGCTCTGACCCTGATCCATGAAGGTGCTTCATCAAATGAAAATAACAGTTTCTACTTATTTTCCAAAGAAATGTTTTTTTAATATTTAACAGCCAAGAATCCAAATTAGGTTTCCAATAAAAATATATTTAAATAATTTAATAAAATGGCAATTAATTGAATTTTTCTTTTTAAATTAAAAACTTATAATGTAGAAAGATCTTAATGTTGATGTTAACCAAATTGGAACGGTATTTTCGTTTGAAGCTGCAGGAAACAAAAAAAAAACTATCATCAAAATATCCAAGATGAAATCTGAATCCAGCAACAATTGAGCCTTTTCTTTGTGACTCCAGAAACACAAGTAAACAACATGACCTAAAGTGGACCTCAAACAACACAGTAGTAAGATTTAACCAACACCAACAGAAAAGGGGTAAAATATTTGAGCCATAAGATTGCAAGAGCTTATCTTTTAGGGTTAAGGGGTTAGGTACAAAAAATGTTTTATGTAACCTTAAAAAAGAGGAGGATAAAATAGAAAATAAAAGATGAAGATGAATTCAATTTTTTTATAATAACTTTAACGCCTATTATGTGATGATTAAATTAAAGTAACCTTAATATAGAGACAGGAAGAGAGCTGTTGAAAATTATGAACCAGAATTTTTATTTTTAAATCTAATTTTCTTATAGGAGTTGGAGAATATATGAGTTTATAAAGTTCTCACAATATTGAGAACAGTCAGATGTAGAAGTAAATAGTAATTAGTGTAAAGACAGACACTTCAAAAAATATAAAGTCATCAAAAAAAATGTTGTAATTAAACATATTTTAGTGTCATGAAAGAACTCTTTTTATGCCACTTCAAGGTAAAATGCAAACAATAAAAATGAACATTCTCAAAATAAGGCATCATTTTTGTCATTAATAATAGGAAATATTCATAGAAACAAATTTAATATGGTACTGACATGTGGCAAATATGACTTCCAAAAGTAAGTTGAGGTAATTTTTAGTAAACATAGTGATATTTTAGAATTGGTTAACATTTATAGAAAATAAATAAATAACAATAAAAAATAAAGTAAAAAATTCAATCCAGAAACAATGGAAATACTATTTTCCTGTAAACCAATGTTTCTTTGAACATCTTATTCTCTCAATGGCAACTTATAAAAATCACTTTCTATTTGTTCTTTTCTAAATATAGCAATTAGTATATTTTTAACCTAGCAGTTTCAGAAAACAGTTTTTGGTAGGCAATATTACATTAAACACTATTTTTCAAGGGACAAAATCTTCTTAATGGAATAGCATACAATTAAGTCCCATGAATTACAAAAACATTAAAATGTTTAAAATTCTTCCTATTTTATTTTTCCTGCAATGGGGAAGAAGCTCCAGATTTTCAAGATGGAACATTTGATATGTTGTCATTAGGCAAAATTAAAAAAAATTCACATAAAAAGGAAGGGCAGAAAAAAAATTTTCTTTCTTTCTTGACCAATTAAAGCAAGTAAAAAAAAAAAAAAAAAATCTCATACACATACACACAAAAGCGGGTGCTGAAAATTTCTCGGCTTGAATGACTTCCCAAAAATCTAACGAAATGACCAAGCATTCATTTTAGGGATTCCTTTCTTGGTTAGAGAACTTTTCAGCATCATACCCTCATAAAGAGACCTCAGTCATAAATATCATCTTTCTTCTCAGCTAATGTTTAACATAAGTGTTTGAGCAGGAGCTGGGGGAAGGGGAGGTGGGGAGCATTCCCCACCCCATTCCCCTCAAGTGCCCTGTCTTATTTGTCAGTGATAGGCTGCCATTCTTCGTACTTTACCAAGGTCCTGCATCATATTCCGAAGTGATTTCTTCAGCAAAGGTAAACTTACAGACAGGGGGCTGTTCAGTTTCTCCCGTTCCTCCAGGACTGGGGGGCGAAAAAAAACAAAAAAGAAAATAAAAAACAGGAAAATAAATTTTTTAAAAATATATTTTATACAAAATGTTCCATAAGCTAAAGAAGATAACTTAGTTTGGCATAAGGCCACCATAACAGGGTACTTTGAACTTGCTATACTAGCAAGATTTCTTCTATGAGCCATGTCCTTTCGGGACGTGGGCAATTATGGTTTTCCACAACTTTCTAAAGCTTAGAATTTTTCACCAGTTCTCTTAGAAAAGTCCAAATAATTTGTGGTATAGTGACACAAATTTGTTTAACTTCAGTCAATGACAGGATTGGTTTGGTTTTGGTTTGTTTTACAGCATACCAACACCTCAATGGGTTATTTAACACTGACAAGATTTTTATTACTGGTAATACCTATTTTCCAAAAATGTATAGCTGGTAATATCTATTTTTCAAAAATGAATTGCTAGGAATAATTTTTTTTCAAAGTATTTCTGGTATTAAAACCTATTTTTACACTTTCATAGTGTTTTGACCCCAGTTTGAGGGTTAACTTTTTGCCCATAGCTGGTACCCTAACAGGTGCTACCATACCAGGTCAGAGTGGACCTGGGAACACCAGCAATTAAGAGGTGGTTACACACTCCTCAAAACCTCCTGATCAGAGGCCTTGCTGCTGGACATAGTTTATTGTCTTACCCAGAATGCGAATGTAGTTTATCGTCATAACCAGGATGAAACTGACAGGAAAACCAAAGAATATTTAAAGTAAAAAGTAACAAAAACAACTAAAAAGAGAGGACAATAATGAATAATAATAAAAAAAATTCAGATAAGTCAAAAGTCAAACAAAAAAAAATATATACACATATTATATTATATATATATATATATATATATATATATATATATATATATATTTGAATGAAAACTAACATTTTTAGGCATTTAAAACAACATGCCTGCCTGCACTCACAATTCCGTAAAATACTTGTCGAAAACACAATTATACATCGACATGAAAACAATAGACAAAAACTAAAAATCCTTGAAGCATTATACATCAAACAGTTGAAACCCAACCTAAACAAAATCAATTATGACATCTCTACAAATATTCTTAAATGTCTATAATTGGTAACAGAAGCCATTGGTTTATACCAACGGCTTTCCATACTTCTACAATTCACTCTCGTGTGGTCATATGCGGCGTCATGAGATGCGGTGCGATTTTCGCTTCTAGCGTCTTATGTGCGCGTGTTTATCGTTGCTTAGAAATCATCTATGTAAACAATGACAGATTATCATTACTGTCGTGTCCGTATATTGTTTAATATGTTGTAATTGACATCTCTGATAATGGCTTATGTAAGCCGAAAGCTTAGATTGTATTAAAAAAAAAAAAATATAGATCAATAGTGTGAATTTCTTTCTTCGTTCAACGATAATGTTATTAAACTTATCAGATGTTACGAAAAAAATTTACATAAAATAAATAGACAACACTTGTCTATATTATTTAATGAAACGTGCATGAAAACATATATATATATATATATATATATATATATATATATATATTATTTTTATAAATTAAATAAAAACGACATAAATGATGCTGTCGTTGAGGTTGTCATTTTTTTTTAGAAAAAACTGAATAAGAGTCTTTGTACAAAAATTTTCCAGGAAAAAAAGAAGTTGGGGAGTGTCACTTACTGTCTACTTGTTCTCTGATTTTGTTCAGCCGGTTATCAATTTCCTGCTGCATCTGCATCACGTACTGCAACATATAAGTCTGCTTCTGGCTGAGAGGATCCACCTCTTCAGTTTTCACATCACAGCCCAGGTCAGCATTTTCACAGTGTTCCAATTTCACTTCACTTTTCAGCTCACTTTTTAAAGAATCTACCAACTGAAGGAAGCTTTTCTATATTAGAGAGAGAGAGAGAAAAAAGAAATCATTGGGGGATAATCTCAAAAGCCTTCTCAAGCAGGAAGAGAAATATATGTTGAGAAAACTGAAATTGCTATGAACTTCCAAGATGGAGTAGCCTTTAATCTTGCCAACCAGAAGATCAGTTAAACAACTGCCCCTGTAATCAGTTTATCTCTAAATTTAAAAAAAAAAAAAGTTGTATCTTTCTCAAGATGGATTTCAATCTGAGGCTAATTTTGCTTATCACTGAAATGCACTGATGTCCACCCTATCATATTCAGTAAGATCAAGAGTTCCTCAGAGTAACAACTACAGACTTTTTTTTTTTCTTTAAGTAAATTTTTATTGTCAAAACAAATCAAAATTTTTTGTGATTCTCCAAATTTTTCAATTACACAAAGCTTTTCTGAAACTAAAATTGAATTGTCACATGCGAGTTTAAAATTGAATTGTCACATGCGAGTTTAAAATTGAATTGTCACATGCGAGTTTAAAATTGAATTGTCACATGCGAGTTTAAAATTGAATTGTCACATGTGTTTATTAATTGAATTGTTTGCGAGTTTAAAAATTGAACACAAAAATTAACAAATTTAAAATTGAATTGTCACATGCGAGTTTAAAATTGAATTGTCACATGTTTGATTTAATTTGAATTTATACATGCAAGTTTAAAATTGAATTATCATAAAAACCCATTTAAAATTTCACTGAGTTTAAAATTGAATTTCATTCTAGTTTAAAATTGAATTGTAATTTCATTTATAATTCTTTTATATATATTTATCATACCTTTGTTCAAAATTAATTGTCACATGCAGTTTAAAATTGAATTGTAACATGTTTAAATTGAATTGTCTAATGCAGTTTAAAATTGAATTGTCACATATGAATTGTTTAAATTGAATTGTCACATCGAGTTTAAATTGAATTATCTATATCTTTTTTAAAATTGAATTGTCATTTTTAAGTTTAAAATTGAATAGATTTGTGCAGTTTAAAATTGAATTGTAAAAGTTTTTTTCTGCATACATATTTAAATTGAATTGTCACAACCATTTAAAATTGAATAAATATTCATTGTAAATTGAATTGTCACATACAGTTTAAATTGAATAAAAATTTTGTTTAAATTGAATTTTCACATGATTAAGTTTAAATATGGTTGTTATGAGTTTAAAAAAATTTTGTTAGAACTGATGATTTTCAGGGGATTTTGATAGTTTTTCTTTATATTTTATTCTTTTGAAATATATTTGGAAAAATAGTTTCAGCTTACTAAAAGTTTTGAATCTGAAAGTTAGCAACTAAGGTTTCTAGAAAATATTTTTATTCTGCACATGTAAAAATCTTTGGAAAATAAAATTACATTATTTGCATTGTCCTCATCTTTGTTGATATTCATGACGTTTCGGTCATTGTACACTCTAGCCTTCTTCAGGTGATTGGAATTTTGAGCTGAACCTTTAATTTTGTCCACCGGGGTAGATTGTTCTAGATCCATGTGCCATGCCTCTTCCACAAGTCTCAATATCAATTATCTCCCTTTAACTCAAATCTCCAAGTGTTTGTTCACCTCTACTGTAGCCAGGTATTGAACTCACAACTCTTTCAAGTAACGCTTTTATCCACTGGGCCACGTGCCTTTGAAGTAGTATATGAATTTTTGAGACTTATAATACCTAATGTTTCAGTAACGTTTTTTTATTTTTTTTTTTATTGTACCCAGTAGTATATGTAACAACTACACTGGGTACATGACAGCAAATCTGATAAACTGAGATAGAAATGTGCAAGAGGATAACAACACTCAGAAAACAGCCTCAGTCTGCCTACCCACCCACCCTATGTGAAAGGGATTATTGGGAAAAATACAAGATCTTAAAACCCTCCTGCCCCTTATCTGCCTTGAGTAGAAAATTCCTTAATTGCTCTCTGTTGCAGATATACACCTATGATCCTATTCATTTTGAAGGCAGGATGCATATACACACAGGCGCACAGACACATCCTTCCAGCACCACGGAAGTTCACAATCCAACTTACCTTATCTGTTGTAGAATCACCAGCAGATGCTGCCATTGAGCCTTCCTTATTTATCAAAGACGACCTTCTACTCCATCCATCAACACTTTTATCATTATTTTTGGGAGATGGTCGAACATCTTTGCTATTAATTACATCTTCATTTCTTGAATGGTTTTGGTTGGATGGTGGTGAATGAGTGGGCTGTTCATCACTAGGCAAAGGACTTTCATCCCCATTACCATTAGACATTGCAGGAGTAGACACTGGGGCACTTGCAGGTAGGGAAACTTCATTGCTGTCTTTCGACAAGCCATTCTCCTTCACACCTTGTGCTGGAGATAAAAGTTTCAAGATAAAAGAAAACATTTACAATTATTCACAATGAAACTGTTTTCTTAATTCCACAAACATACTTATACAAAATTCCATGCATGAAGAAAAAAGAAACAATGGTAATTGCATGGTGTTCTTTACTTCAAGGCCAACTCACAGTGCAACTGAGTGCCAGAACTGGAGGCCTATTTCAAATCTTGCCATTCCTCAAGGAGCGATAATTTTTAATTTCAGTTTGGATTTAACCATTATTGTGTTGCAGAGTTCAAAGACAAAAATGAAAAGCTTTAAAATCTGAAAATGTTCTGTTGGCTACAATATTAAAAAAAAAGTCTTGTTTATTTTATAAAGCTCTTGGGTGGTTTTCTTATTATGTTGTGAATTTGATGTTAACATCTGACTTAAATCAGAAAACAAATAAAACCTGTTTTTTTTACATTAAAATAATTAGAGTATGAAATACTTTAAGGTATTCTAAAACTATTTTTACACATGATTTTCTTCTAAAATCTCAATATTTCAATGTTTGCTAAAGAACTGGAAAAAGTTCAGATTTTTTTTTTTAAATGTATAAACAGCTATCTTTATCATAAATGAAT